GTACACGAATTGAGTTGAAACTTTGATTTTTTTGTGTGTCTACAGTACTGGAAAAAACGTCACTGGAATGGTGAAAAAAAATGTATCGATTATAGATAGACCATTATTAAATTGTCATTTTTATTGTCCTTACAAAAGAATGTTAAGCCGGCGGTAATACGTTGTGAAATTGAAAATTTGTCCGTGAAAATGATAGAAAAATATATTAAACTTGAGATATTAAGTTTAAGGAATAGCAAAATGAATTATTTTGATGTACTAATTGACTACATGAAAACATTATAGAACTCTTGTCAGACGTCGTAAGCTCGGATAGATTTATATTTTATAGACGGTAGTGGATAATTATGTTCATCATCCAGGCACCCCATCACCAGGAAAATTACCAATACCATTGGGCGAAAGACCGTCATTACCTACTGGAGCGGAGTTTGACATCATAATATGAAAAGCGAAACCTGATAGAATAAGTTAAGTCTGTGGAATGAAATCAATCTTCTTCTGACTTAAACTGTAAAGTACGCCAGCACCGATTAGAACGGAGCTTAACATTAGGGTATTAAAATAAAATGTAATAAATCTGTAGTTTGTGTGGTGGACTTAGTCTCCCTTATTGACTCCAGTCGGGGAATCTACTATGTTTCATCTGTAGAAAATAGTAAATTTGCTAAATATGTATCAAATACGTAGTTGTTTTGATTGATTTTAATGTCATAAAAAATATCACAAATAAACATACCTATGGACAACTTCATAATATCTGATAAAGATAAAATTATAATTTCAAAATTTTTTATATTATTACTGTTACATCTCAGTTGACTTCAAACCACTTGCCCCTCACCGCTGTGGGGTCGAATCCCGACAGGGACTCAGAATTATTTCATGTGAGGAAGCTATCCAAGTAGCTTAAGGAACATCCGTGGTTCTACTCAGATGCCCGTTTGTGCTTGAAATAATGCACAGAACGGCACTCCACCAGTAAAGCTGGAACGGCGCCAAATGACCATACTGTGTCGGTGTGGCAAACAAACAAAAAAGACAAACGTATTTCTACTGAATATAAAAAGGCAATATTTCTATCAAATACACGCTCAATACATGTTCTAATGATAGAATAAACAACAAATTTCTCCAGGAGATACTGCACTGATGTTAATCGATACAATATAATTTCTTTGTGCATGTATGATTTATATAACGTTTGTAATTTGGTCTTCTTCCATCAATCTAATATGCTATTATGGAAATATTTTCAATAGTTACTAATTTAGAACGTCTCCTTTACAAATTGTTTACCATTATATTTGATTTCACTGGTCATCCACGTTTGTCTGTTTTGTAATAATTTGTACAAGTTCAATGTTTTTCGTTTACCATGCAGTTTTCGTCAGGCTTAAAAGCTTTTGCGGATATGTCATTAATTCCTGCCCCATTCATCTGCTACCGTGACAATCCATTAACAATCTCACTTCTTTATTAACTTTGACCAAATTTGATAGATTTTAGGAAACCAGACATTTTTTCATTGTTGAATTCAGGTTGGATAACTACCAAAGAATTATTCTATTTAACAGGAATTGCATATGTTCTTTCCTTAAATATTTTTTACGTTAAACGCTTAAACAGTGAAAGGTAAAGAAAAATCTCGAAGAGGGGTTATCCCTCGGAAGCATTAAAAATATCAAATTAACATGAAAATCCGTATCTAACCTTAAACAAAGATTTGTATATAAAAAAAATGTTTTCTACTTTTGCCTTTTGATGTCAGACATTGTATATAGTCATGGCAAGGGAATGTCCACTCAAAATCTATTGTGACAGTTACGGAACATCAAACCCCAAGCAAATGCGAAAACGACAATTAACCTCTTTTATCAAAACATTCTAAGACGTTGTTAACAGGAGTGAATTTGTAAAGCATTGACAATAAACTACACATTAAAATATTGTAAAGGAAAAAATGGTTTTGCATTAATTTTGTTCTTTTAATAACCAAACATAGCTTCTGACTATGTAGACTAGTTTTTATACAAATTTAAAGAAGCAATATTGCACCAGACCTCAGTGTAAGCCGAAATTTAGAATAATAATACTTGTCTTATGTTGCGGTTTTGATAGGAATATCCGTAGCGAGGGGACCCCGCGCATTGGGCGTGTTCCCGAGGGACGGATATTGCGATCCGAAACGCAAACATGTCAGATATTTTTCTTGCATATTCTCCCATATTATTTCATATCTAAAATGGTTTACCTCAATAAGATATTTGTTCATGGAAATATAAATTACAACTTTAATAACAACGGAAACAGCAGTCTGCTTTACAAGAAATACTCTCCCAGAAAATCTATTTCAATAGATGAAGAAAATTGCCTTTCATTTCCAGTTTGGCAAAACAAAGTTTTTGCAATTTCGTGAATCTTTGGTCAAACACTTATTTGATACAGTGCTAATCTGTATGTCAAACTCTTCAGACAAACTATACATATCGAATTTCCAGACATTGTATAAAAGCTGTACTTCCTGACTTGTATATACAAATGATTGGACGTAATAAGCCGCAAAATCCATGACATCTATTTCATTTCAAGTCACAGCTTCAGTATTCTCCATATAATTGTACAGTATATTTATCAACTGTAACCTTAACATTGCCAATAAAAGCAAACATGATTTCAAAGACCATAATTTACTGGCAATTAACGATATAGAATAAATATCTTACATAGGGTTTTAGATCAGAAGTAAAAAAAATCTATGTTAAAATTATTCGTTTCATCCACGTTTACATAATTTGTCATTTATAATAAAAATACCAATGATTTCTTCTATTATCCCGTTTGATCATCGCAGACAGATATAAAATTGGATTCATTTACTGACTGACTTTATTCATGGGTAATCATTTTACATTGAGACTAGTTTATTACATATAATTACGTAGCTTTTCCAAGAGATCAACAAGTGCTACAATTTACATAGGAAGGCTCGTGTGTGTGTGTGTGTGTGTGTGTGTGCGTGTGCGTTGGTGTGCGTGCGTGTGCGCGCGTGCGTGCGTGTGGCGTGTGTGTGTGTGTGTGTGCGTGTGCGTGTGCGTGTGTGTTGGTGCGTGCGTGTGTGTGTGTGCTGAAACTTTTATTTCATATTAAGAAAGTGATAAATATTAGCATAATTATGATATCACCATTACGAGCGAAGTCTGTGTAACGAGGTAATGAACTTACAAGATTTTCAAGCACTATACCCCATCTATAAATATAATGTATGTGAAAAGATATGGAAAATCTTTCGTTTTGATCGTTTAATAGAAAATCATTCATCAAAGATAAACAAGACACAAATTGAAGATTTATTGTTCCTCTAACGCTATTAGACACAAAAAGACTTTAACGCAGCCTTTCCTTGTTGATCTTGTTTATCATGTTTTAACACTGATGGTGGCATGCCATATTATATATTTAGCTAATAACACTTCCTTATCTACGTTCCTTAAGGTAACGTAGATAAATCATTATCTTCTGCTACTCCTATTCTAAACAAGCCTTTCCCACATCTTACAAAGACAGATGTCATGAAAACAGAGAACATCACGTTCACAGGCGTGGGGTTACATTTAATGTACGTATTTAGATTTTAGCAGTGAAAAAGAAGCTACTCATGTAGAAGTCCAAAAAATCATATTGAATCCATTTAATACTGCATCTAGCCTCACTTCATTTGTCCTAAAATCTGTATATAATCTGTATTGTAATCGAAGTAACAAATTTCTGTCCAATTGTTAAAAATAGGCAGTGTGAAATAAAGTTATTATAGGTACATGTACTAATATATCGAGAAAATTTGTACCAAAATAAGAGGAGATAAAAAATATACATATTATCAACAGTTTCTATCATTTTCTTTTAATTGTCTGTTTTGCCACTCCTTGTCTGAGAAATATTAAATTCATTTAATGTTGGTTGTAAAAAATACTATGCGGTTGTATTAATGTGTCAGATGAATGATTTATAGACATAAGAAAAAAAACTTAAAAGCCTTAAACTAATTTCCTATTTTTCTAGTTTTATATAAGCTTCTATTTATGTCAAGAACAACATCTGAGATATAAGGAAGTAAATAGGTTCGTGGTATGCCAGGCATCATATGTGGCTGAAATACAGTTTCTACCAATAAGGATTTTCTCCACGTACAAAGATATTTTTTTATGTTTCACTATTTCAGGAAGCATATGTGAATATCGAACCATTCACTTCAGTTCAATATTCATCACTATTCTTATCCAGGGCATTAGCTCCCCGTCCAATATTGTTTGGCAGCTGTGTACTCGTCCAATAGAATTCAGTTATACAATACCTCTTATTATTTCACACCACCAAATTTTGACAGAAATTTGTAACTGAAGTACGGTAAAGATATGACATGAACCTTTTTACTATGAAAATGAAAACGATGCTACACGAAGTACAATAGTGACTTGATACTGATTTTCCGGACTCGGAAGATGAAAACGCGGCCAGATGGTGTACAATTGATTTGAAATGGAATTTTTGGACTGGTAAAACGAAAACAACGCTAAACTGATAAGATTGAATCCAGTTATGATTTATATTGGGAGATCACCTGGTGCAAATGCTGAAAGTTCATTGAAACGTGAAAATATTGTCCAAAATTACTCTTAACAACTAAAATCCGTTTTAAACAAATTAAAACTATATAAAATACTGGTAACTGTGTAGAACACTTTGCTTCGAGCAATTATATTAAGTTATAATTGTCATCTTCTGTTTCAAGACGTTTCGTAAGAACTTAATCTTTAAGTTGAAAAGACCACATACTAGGTGCACATTATAACCACCAACTTTATATAAGCTTATTTATGTTTTCTCGAAAATTCCAGTTTTCTGGAAAATTTGTTCATACATTTACAACAGAGCAAGATAATTATGTAACTGATCTTGACATGGTATAAAGATATCTAATAATAAGACGAAGACATGTATAGAATTTCCCATTTAATGGAATATATCATGATTTACATTTACACATGAAATATCTATGATTTAAACATGTTTTGTACAAAACTACCTTTATAATAAAGATAAACAATCAAGAAGGACTCATAAAAACAATACATCAAGTATTTGTCACTGAATCTCTATCATATGTTTCAACTATTATTGTAACATCAACATGGCATTTTAAGAGTTTTAAAAACAGTACTAGTGTATCATACACCATGTTTCTGAACATTGTTATCATTAAAATGCACCAGAGTAGTAATAAGTTTTATCAATTAATATCTGTAATAAAAATGTGAGCTAAATAATGAAAAGATAAATTCACCATTACGGAGTGGTATTTATTTTTTTTAACAATTAAACAAACAACTTCTACATGTATTAATATCTTGTGAAATACTAAGATGTTTATTATATTGAATATCATGGCAAATATCATTTACCAAAGAAGTATAGTGATCTAATAATAATCAATAAGCAGATCAGTTATAATGTATATACAAGTTTATATTGTCATTTAGGATTTAGGGGGATTGTGCCAGAATATGGAATATATCACTTAAATCACTTATCAATTAAATCAATGAGAGTATTGAGTATGCCGAGTATGTCAACTACCTACTTAAGTTATTATCTACCTACTTAAGTTGTTAACTACCTACTTAAGTTGTTAACTACCTACTTAAGTTGTTAATGATCCTGTAACACAATTTTTTATGGTTTAAATCATAAATATGATGCTCAAATTAAGATTTATCAATATTGTAGGTTCCAAAAAGCATCATTTATAAATATATTACCGAATTTAACATTTCATGTAAATAAAGGGAGGTAATACAAAATCTATTTTCTATTAAGATTAAGTCAAATTCTACAATAAGAAAAGAATGCATATATTTTAATGATTACATATAATGTGCACAAATATTTGCAGTACATATTTTACATATTCTTCGATGTTTAAAAATTGTTTTATAAGCATAATTATATACATAATTATAATTTCACTTAAGTGTGGTATGCAACCTCAATTATAACATACAGGATCTTTAACTACCTACTTAAGAAGTTAACTACCTATTTAAGTTTGTAACTACCCACTTAAGTTAATAATACCTATTTAAGTTGTTAATTACCTACTTAAGTTGTTAACTATCTACTTAAGTTCTGATATCATATGCCCTTAAACTTTTACAGGTTTAAGTTTTATACACAAAACTGTATTGTATTTTGTCAATTAAACTAGCTACTCAGTAAAAAGGGGGTTTAACCCTCCTAACACTGCAAATAAAGCTAAATGACTAACTGGTATGTAATCAACCATGAGTCCAAATGATATCTTAACATTGCACAATATTACACTTAATACAACAAATTTTCTTTGAAATAAAACAAACAACAAAATTGTTTAAAATTCAGTGATAATTGCACAGTTATGATAAGTTGGTTAGTATAAAATATTTTACTGAAAGAGGTACATCTAACATCTTTTTGAAAACATAAAATCTATAATTTTAAAGTGCCATGCAATGTTATCCTGGCAATACACGTTTAGAAGTGTGCATCGTGAATTTACAAAAAAAATATATGTATGCCTTTTATAAACTGGTACCTTTGATTAAGTTTCTATACTTTCTTTAATAATGGTAAAATGTATATAAAACTTCTCTTGATACATCTGTTATAGAAATTAACAATCTACAACAAGATATTACATCTTCTTAGGAAAAATAATTCAAAATTTTAATGTAGAACATCAGAAATATAACAATTTTTAACATGGTACATTACATAAAACTATATACTACAGAGTTTTTGTTGTTTTTGTTTTTTTTTTGCTTAGAAGTAATTTCATTCTATCTTGAATCAATCTTTATTACACAATAAATTACGCTACTAAGTATTTTCATTTAAAAGTTCAGGCCAGTATGACCCAGCATGAACTACAACCCTAAAATATAGTACTTTTTTTTAACAGCAAAAAATCAGCGACTAAAATAAGCTCCCTGAACACTGCTTTACAACAAGGAAAATTTGTCGATGTGACATGAACTCAATTAATCAAAAGTATAGTTCAATGGAAAATGCAAAGTACCAAGTCAGTAAATGAAGTTCCTATTGGAAACAGATGTGTGATGGATGAATGGAAGAAAGGAAGTACATTATTATTACATACTGGCAACTTTATGCTCCAATGAAACAATATCTAGGAGCCAAAAATGTTTGAGCGTTAAGAGGGTTAACTTGTAAGTAGGTTTGAATATATAGCTGAAGAATCAAGTATACAGCCTACAACAGTTTTCTGATACCCCTTTCAATATCATAGACTTCTAAAAATAATCTCTCATATAAAATAGTACAGGTAGATGTTCAAGCTATCTAATATGAAATTTACACTTTATTATTTCGATTAATTTCCATCTTGCTCATCCTTCAAAAATGTTGATTTACTGAATCACAACTCAAATCTTTTGACCAGTGGGTGGGATTACTAGTATTTAAATTATTCTATATGGCAAAAATGCAATTTATTTTTAAACTTGAGCAAGAAACTTTATATTCATTGCTTAGTACTGGTTTGTTAAAAAGTGTTTCATTAAGCTTATAGCTTCCAACAATATCAAACTAAAATAAATTTGTAAAAACTATCTAAAATTGTTGAAAATCACAGGAATTAATGTCAGTTGTTGAATTTTTCAGTTTGTCCTGTATCTGTAAAGCAACAGTCTTAAAGGATGAGATAATTGGTCACAAATTATCCTAATAGTCTATGTACATGTAATGTTAATGACCCCAGACATTGTACGCAACTATAGCCCCTGCTACAGCAAATCCTCCAACAAATATCCCTGTCGCCTGCCAACCTGGTGTTCCAAAATATTCTACAATCATTTCCTGAAAATATACAAAATAATTATTATATTCTATAACTGAAATCAATAAACTAAGTATTTTATAAACAACAATCTTGCTGTGACACATCTTTAGTTTCACTTTTAAATTAAGTGAATCCATGATAGATATATATATCTAAACCTTAACCTGCTGGGACCAATATGATCAGCTTTTGCCACAAGCATAGGGCCAGGTCAGCCTGCACATACATACAGTCTGACCTGATTCTATACTGTCAGCTGACTAGCATATGACAAGGGTCCCACTCTTTGACATCTTGAACATTTTAGGACTTTTCCAGGACTTATCTAGGACCTTATTTCAAATTTTAAGGACTTTTTTACAAGATTAAATTTAAAGTTATTTGGGTTTTTTTTGTCCTATGTATATGTTCATGGCAATCTTTTGAACAACATTTATTTTAATTACACCTTTTCAACATAATACATATAGTTCATGAAGTAAATCTACATCTATCTAAGAAATACATTTAGTGTCTATAATTATTGAAATGTGCTTTATAACATCTACTGTTTTTGAGGTTTTCATTGTACTTTTATCTCACCTGACATTTGACCTCAGACTACTTATGCTTCATGGAATGTTAGCAACGCATCACATTGAATATTCTATGATTAAAGCCCTTTGAACACATCTGCAGATGTTTCTAAATTCAAAATTTCACACTTTCATGTTTAAATGTTATGTTCTACTTTAGCTGGTGCTATGGGGGTACACTTTCCAGTACCATACATGAACAAGCTCAATCAAACAGAGTCTACAACATTTTCAATTTTGCCATTTTAAACATTTTTAGGGATTCCAATTTTTCTATTTCAATGACAAATCTTTTTGCTTTATACAATAATTTTTTAAACCATCTGACTAGTACAAAATATGGTGTGGCCAATTGGCCATGCTCTGCCATTGACAATATTTCGTGTATGTGATACCACTGTTTAGTTTATATTGATTTACTTTTGGCTTTTAAGCATGATTGTGAGAAATTAGGATAACATTTCTTGCCCAAAGAAACAACCAAGCCTGTAGGTTTTCATCTTTTGTATGTGCTTTGAACACTTGACGTCCATTTGTTACTTTCTCAAAAGATTTTCCAAACACAACCCACATAGCAACAAGGAAGTAAATGTTGTTTTTTTTTCCTTTAAAAATTGCTTTAAAAAATTATGGTATATTTTCATGATGAAAATAATAGATTTCTATCAATACCAAATGAAAAGCAACATGAAAAGTATAGATTTGGCTAAAATATAAATGAAGTTACCTAGCAACGGTTTAAAGAAAACACAGTGCACTTGAAATAGGAATTTCCCCCTAGTGCTTTAATTATATATATTTTATTTGTAATTTAGAGTGCATTCTAGTATAATATTACATGGTTTACAATTCAAATGAGCTGAAATCTGATACCAAAGGTAATATTCTTGGATATCAAAGCATTAGAATCATACGTAATGCAGTATTAAGTAATAATAACACACTGTATCTGTATTACACTCCTAACTTGATTATACAGAGATAAATGACAGAATTATATGTAATTACATTAAATGGAGAAGTAATTTCATTATCATTATTTAAACTATTGATATTCCCCGTTCTCAAAACTGCACTTACATTGCAGCATAAAGTACTCAGACCCGAAGCCTTTATCATAAACAAACTCATGTTAAATGTATCAGAATTAGAATGTTTTTTTGTTATTTTGCTTTCTTTTGCTGCCTCTGTTAAGGTTCCACAACTTTATTTGTGAAGGTGGACCTCAGGTGTCCCTCTCTACCTTATTACAGGAACCAGCAGGTTAAGCATGTACAGGCTATTCAAGTAGAACCGTTAACCTGACGTAAGCTTGCTTAATAACTTTCTCACATGAAAGAAACTAAAGTTCATAAAAGATTCTAAGTTTTGTTTGTTTGTCTTGGGTTTTACGTCACATCGACACAGTGTAGGTCATATCGCGACGTTCCAGCTTTACTGGTGGAGGAAGACCTCAGGTGCCCTTCCGTGCATTATTTCAGGCACGAACGGGCACCTGAGTAGAACCACCGACGTTCCGTAAGCTAGCTGGATAGCTTCCTCACATGAAAGAATCCAAAGTCCCTGTCCGGATTCGAACCCACAGTGGTGAGGGGCAAGTGGTTTGAAGTCAACGACCTTAACCACTCGGCCACGGACGCCCCAAGATTCTAAGTAACAGTAATGAGGGGCAAGAGACTGAATTAAAAACATATACATACCCAGCCGCCTCTCTCTATAATCCAAGGTGCTACTTGATCTACTATAAAGTTTATAACCCAATTTATTATGGCTTTAATTAATGGAATTTTGTCTAGGGCCTGAAACGATAAAATACATTTTCAATTATTTACTCAGTCAGTACATATGATAACTTATCAAAAACACATATTCAACAATTAAATTCATATTAAAGTTAAGATGACTCTTTTATGTTTCTTAAGGATATGTTATACAATGCTGTGATACAAAATGTGCTTTCTATCTATCAGTACATGTAAAACATGCTTTTCAGGAATAATTCATGAGACAAATGCTTCATAGACTATGCCAGATTAACCTTATCATTCCAACTTTATTTCATATATAGCTGATTTCTGACCAAACATATGACATTACATTATTACATAAATATCTAAAAGTAATAATGGGCAAAATAAACCATGAAAATAATGCCTGAAACTGGTAGATTGTCCGGGTTTTTTTTATAAGATTGAAGAGATGTACAGAAATTGCATGTTACTGTATAAATTTTTATTATACTAGTCTAAGGGAAATAACTCTGATTGGCAACGATGGCTTAACTGTTATAAGGAAAGAATGTTACTTTTAGGAATAGGTACTGTATATCAAACGCATCAAAAAACACAATAAAAACAAGACCATTTTTTACATAAATATGTCATACATGCTTAATTAAACATATAATACAATAGTTCTTTTAAAAAATTCCAATAAGTAATAAACAATCAAACCTGCTAGACTACAGTTCTTACAAACTAGTAAATAGGAAAAACACAACTTACAGGACAGTAATTCACAAATACATTGTTGTTAATTTCAAATACATTGAAAAAACATGATTTGAAAAACTTTCAAAAAATAACATCAAAAACACAACAGTGGAAGTATGCTTTGAAAATGTTAAATCAAACAGTTCTGAAATCAGTGTAGAATTACCACAGATAGTTATAAGGAGTGATATTTCTTTTGAAATAATTTTGCTGCCTTATTTAATTTGGAAAGCTATGTGCTATATAGTGACATTTCTCTGTGCTTAACAATGGCATTATAGATTTCAGTAATCAAGTGACTAAATTAGAGTAATAATGTTAAAACTTTGCACACTCAAAAAGTTTCCTTGCCACTAAATTTCTTTTCTTCTTTTTTTTCTTTTTTTTTTTTTTTTTTTGGGGGGGGGGGGGGATAAGTATTTCCTATCAAGTAATCATCTAGCTTTTCATTTTTGATCCATTTAAAACCTGTGGCAATTCTTTAACCTTACCATTGCTAAAGTCTACAAAAATAGTTTAAAGTTTTCTTGAATACAAAGAAAAAATATGGCTGATGACAAACTATCACCATCAGTCTGTGTTCTGTATATCAAAAAAAATTCTTAAAAAAATCTACAACAAAAATATTTTTAAACAATTATTATAAAGAAAATATCTTTGTTACCAATTTACAATACAGATATTACAAAGAGGTAAGTTATATATTATAAACAGTTACAAAAAAGTCAGAATGTTATGTAGGACATGAAAGTAATGATAAACATACTTACTTTTAACGCCATTTTATAGCCAAAATAAAACAAGGTTGCAACTCTACCCCAGCTTATGATACCATCACGGAAGAAATCATTGGCAACATTAAAGAATGTCTGTTGAGGAGCATCTGGAGGCACTTTGGATATGATTCTAAACAAATGTATATATAATATATATATAAATTATCTTCCAAATCAAAATCTATTTAATGCATGCATGTTGAAAAAGCAAATTTGATGCATTTGTTAAATACAAATTACCATATTCTGAATATTTTAGTTAATTTACAACAATGAAAGTTATGGTGAAATATTTATTTCAAAATGAAGTTCTTAACCTTCAATATCCTATGGAATGAAGAAGTCTTGGTGTACCAAGTTGTGTATATTTTAGTCATGAAATAACAGTAAATTGTGAAGAAAAACAGCCTAATTATTACTCTTGAAAATTACTTTAGGACCATTTTGAGAAAGAAAAATATGCATATGTTTTCCATTACGGAAATTTTTTTAGCCAACTGGACCTTTCTAAAGAAGGAAAACACTTCTGATACTTGATATTTTATCACCTTTGTATTCGCTGGTCCTGATCTAGTTCATCTGCTATACATCTTAAAGCACGTGCTATCTCTCTCATATGTTCTAATGGGGGTCCTAAAATAAAAATAACCATATATATACATTCAATTATTGCAAAACATATTATTTTCTAATTAAAAAATTCTCATTTTTTTCTCTATGTTTTGTAATTTATAGGCATGGTTTTTTATTACCAAAGCTAAAACCCTTGAAACAAACAATAGCTGTGTTTGCAGTAACATAATGTCAGATCAACTATTATTCTAATATATTGAGAGACCATTCAGAACATAAAACTGTAAAAATTATAAAGGACTCACATCATTATTTCTTCAACAATTTAGTGATTAATTGTTAAGTAAAAATCTCATACTTTCAACTAACAAAAGTCAGACACTAAAAGTGACTAATATATATTGTAGAATAGATTCAAAACTGGAATTCAGGCTAGTAAATTCAAAATCTTCAAATTCATTGACTGTGAGGGTATTCCTGGCATGCCAATACTGACCAGAGGGTCTTCCTGGCATGCCAATACTGACCTAAGGGTGTTCCTGGCACATCAATACTGACTTGGGGGTGTTTCCGGCACATGGATACTGACCTGAGGGTGTTTCTGGCACGCCAATACTGACCCAAGGGTGTTTCTTGCATGCCAATACTGATCTGAGGGCGTTCCTGGCACGCCAATAAT